TTAGGTGAACCTAGATTAATTTAAAACATTTAGAAATGAATTCAGGTCAACAAATTATAGAGAGATAATTTCATGTTGACTTTGTGAATTTCAATTCAGTTTTCAGTCACTTGTGGAGAACTCTCCTGGTTGACTATGACTGAAAAGAGAGATAAGGTGTAAATAAACTATTTTCTTCAGTTCTAAAGAGTCTAAGGAGACTTCCTTTGTCTGTCCAGGAGGTTTAGATTCATATTCACGTTATCATTCATTCTCTCTCTCTCAACTTCTCTCTTTCAATAGTACTTCCACTCTACTATGATCAGACTCTTTCCTAAACGTGCATTTCCCTAGGTTTTCTTCGTACACAGGATGTTGATCTATATCTGCTCAGGATCTCTGATATGTTTATAGACGGATATAGTGTCAGGGGCTCAAGGTGTTACAGAAACAAATTGCAATTGATTCCTCCAAGAATGTCTATGGAAATGGGGCAGAATGAAGAATGTAATAAATTATACAATTATTTACTCATTCTCAATATATTGATTTTAGTTTCACTAATATGCCTGCAAATTTTGCAAGAAGTATAGTACAAAAAAATGTAAACACAACTGAAGTGAGATCTAAATGTCTAAATATACTGGGTGACAACTAATGATAGGTTATTGTCCTGATGCTTTAAGAATTCTGTACTTACACATTTGTCAGGGTTCAGGATTATAAAGGCATTTTAATAAAGTAGATACTATCAAAATCACCATATATTCTTGGAAAAGAAGGACCATCATTATTCAAAAATATTTACTGATTCTGGGTGAATGACACTGCCTCAAACTAAATTACCTATGAGTGACCTGTTTGATTTAATTTGCCTTTCTTTTCACCCTCAAGGATGATATCTAGAAGTCCATCATAATTCAGCACTCTTTTTTTTCTCCCCCTAACAAAATTGTAGTCAGACACATGGATTCCAAGCTAGACTAAATTTCCAATCCCCTTGCAGTTAGGTTGGTCATAATACCAATTTATCTCCAGTGGAAGGTAGGTAGAAGTGACTAGTGCTACTTTGAGTCCAGGGACCATAAGATAGGGTATGTGCCCATCATGTGTGTTTCTTTTGCTGGAACCAGGGCAGATAAGTATATGAGAACAATGCATTAAGGAAGGCAGAGAAACTACTTGGCGCCATGGTAGATTCCTGGCTCCTTGAATGACAGAGTGGAACAAACCCTCCCACAAACAGAATGCTCACTCTGGAACTGTCAGCACAGAGAGAAATAAACATCTATATTCACTAAGCCACTCTATTTTAGAGTCTCTTTGTTACAGCAGCTTAGCTTTACCCTAACTAATATAGTCTCTTTCAAATGCATTTCAAGATGCATTTTAAAAAAGAATCATTGACTAAAAAGGATTTGACATGAAAATCATTGTCCTAAAGAGCTAGACATACTTGACTTCTCTAAGAACTGTCAGAATTATTTTTGAAATCCTTTCTAAAGAGAGCTGAGCTGTGTTTATTTAAACTCACCCTTTAGAATCAAGCATGTATAAGGAGCAAGAAAAAGAAATGTCATTCAAGACTAGATGAGAAAAATGAGCAAGCATACGGAAATTATTTCACTGATCAAACTGAAAGTGTGGTCGTTTCTTAGACACTCCCAAACAGTTCTTTAGGGAAAGCATCTTAATAATTCTCCTGTTTTTCAACATGGCTGAAAGATATTCCCAGAGTTACTACTAAATGGATAGGTTCTGTAATTTACTGAATTGTTTTTCCTATTTCTTTAAAAGGCTTACTGCTTTAATACTTCTATAAGAAAAGCCTTTTTTTTAATGCAGCATGACAATAAGTGGCAGCCTCTGAGGAAGGGGTGGGTTGGAATTCATTTGTGCCTTCTAGTCCTAAGTCAAACTTTTACCTTGACACAATTGCAAGGAGGTAGATCTCAGAAACAGTAATAAAATTGTAATTTTTATTACCTTTTGAAACACTTAATCTTTTAATTAAGTCCTAAAATTGTTCACTTTGAACAGAACACCAGGAAGAATGACACTGGTTTCTCGCTGCATCCACAGAACCGGGAAGCTAAGTTTCTAGGATTTTCATTTCTTTTGGCAGATCCCCTGGAGGAACCCTGCCTGTGGGTCTCACTGTCATGTTTATGTAAGCTGAACTAGCATATTTTGTTGCTGGACACTTAAGACTATTTTCCAGAGCAAAGTTAGTACCTTTGGTTTCTTAGTTTTATGTCTTATTATTAAAGACCCACGTAGCTTAGAGAAAGCAAGAGGGAAGTTTGTACCACATTCTGTGGGATAAACATATAAATGTGTACACACATGAGTGTATTTGCTAAAACTATCTATCCAAATGGCAAGCAGTCAGAGGGTTAGAAACAACTTGATAGCTAGAATTTGGTTGCCTGTTAAGCTCTTTCTCCAGTGCTTCATAATGATGAGCCCTTAAAATAATATTCAAATGTGATATAATTGAGGTGGGTTTGGCCCTAGCACTGCATTTTCCCAAAAGGAAATAAGTTACACTAATTCTAATGTTACTTTACTTTGAGGGCCAGCAATTAACTCAAGGATTGCCAAGAACAATAATGCTTCATATAGCGAGAATAACGTGACCAGGACAAAAACCACAGGATGTCAGAGAAGGGAATTTATGAGAGAAAAAAGAGTCATTAGATCACCTGAAAGGAAGTTTTCAAAGCAAATGGAAATATCAAAGGGAAGAGAAGAAAGCAAGAGGGAGGGGGAGAGCTGTCAGAGGGATGAAAGGGAGGGGCACACATTTTTGTCAATTTTGCTCTGGTTTCCAAATGTATTACATAAGATAACTCTTCCAGCAAGCCTAGAATTGCACAGCAATGGTTGTCACACCCTCTGAAATCTGTCAGCATTTAAAGCTGATGGAGGGCATGCCCTTAGCATTGCCGTTGGAGAGTACCCTGGTTTCTTTCCAAGTCATGTCCATGAATTTAGACAGATGCAGTGATAAAAATATTTCTCAGGTAGATATAAGGTTAAGGAAACACCACGTTGGTCTCCTTTTTATCAGTTAGAAGCAGAAGAGCAAACTTGAATGCAAATGAGGGATTCATTTAGAAAGTTGTGTTTTGGCAGCATTTCATGCAGACCAGGCCTTCCGCATTGATAACAGAAATATGATGACCAAATATGGGAGCTGCTTTAGCTAAATTATGCTGCACTTAAAATTTTTCCACAAGTTTCCAGCCAATAACTTGATATCTGAAATTCCTTCCTCTCTAAAAACACCACGTCATACCTGGAAAACAAGATTCAAGTTTTTTCTTCTTCTCCAGAGAAAATATATTCCCAATTACCCAAGGGATACACTTTTCCACCTGGACTTCACTTCTGTTAACTATATTGACTCTCATAAAATGGACTAAAATTATTTTTGCTGTTCAGTTCTCAGTAAAAATTCCATTGCTATGTATCATGTCTAGCCTCTTTTGTTAGACTTATTAGCACCAAAGTGTCCAAGTCGGGCTCAAAGGGCAGAAGGCACGCATGAGATCTGAAATGTCCATCAGAGAAGTTTAGATCTGTACCTCTGAGACTGGTTTAGCAGCCAATTTAAATCTTTAACAGGAATCTGGGAGTTCAGAGCCCTGTAAGCCTCATCTGGATCTATTTTTCCAAAAGTAACACAGGCCTTTCTCTGGTATTTTACCAAATGTGGCTTTTCATCTTGAGTGTAAGCAAGTGATCTGTGCCCTGTGGAACCATCCTGGAAACATTACGTTGGAGTAGCAACAGTGGTGGCTGAAAGAATGGAAAAGTCTGGTTCCTCTTCCAGGGGAACTTCAAAGCAGGTAGGGCTTGCTCCCATCGTGTGTCTTCCTTAAATTGGGTTGAGTTACACAGTGGATAGTCTTCAGTCTGTGTGTTGCAAAAAGGTGCAGTTTTAGGTTTTGCTGCCATCAGGGTTTGTCCCAACAGGCTGAGGAGTGGGGAGAGGCTGAAAAAGGAATTAGCTTCTGCTGTGGTCCTGAGCACCCCAAAAGTACTGGTGTGCATCAAATCCTCCAGACACGTTTTGACTGTGATGATGATGTCTGAAGTTCCATGAAACAAGAATGCTTACTGTTGAAATTAGCCTGGTATGAGATCATCTTGGCAATTAAATAACCAAACCGCTTCAAAAGATGGCTCTACCATAGCCAAATTTTGTTCTAGTAGAACTCGAGTTACAGTGGGTTTGTGGGCCATAAATCTAAAAGTGAAGGTAAATCTAAAGCAAACAAGTATCTGAGGAATTCTAGCAGGTGGGGAGGTGGGCTGGGACTAAGGCATGTTGGGAGAAGTTAGGATAGGGCCTCAGGGCTGACATGTCCCCCTCTGACTGACCATCGTCCTGTGGGCCAAAATAAACAACAAAGGGGATTTTTCTTAAGTGAAATTAAGTGTTGTATTCAGCTTGGTTCTCTAACGGAACAAGTTCTTGAGTTTTCATTTTACTTTGTCTAGGTGGACACCGCCATACCTACAAATACCATTTCCAGTTTGAGAATGCTTTTTAGAAGCATATTTGTTTTTCCTAAAATAGAGATGTTTGCCCATTAATAAAATGTCAACTGGGTAGCTTTCTCTATCTGTTATTTTGCCAATCAACAATTCTGATTTTGTCTCTTCAGTTAAGCAAGAATTTGAGTTACAATCATTATCATTGTTATCCAACAGTAAATATTTGCTGAGCTTCTCCTCTAGACACAATGCTAGGCCTGGGTGTACACAGAATATGCACAAGTGAATCCCTGCTCATTAAAGAATTCCAAAGTTGTGGTGAGCACAGGATACATAAGCAAAAATCTATGGAACAATATAAAGGGGTGTTGCTAACTGTCCAGATTACAAATACTGAAAGATTTCAAAAGATATAATGACCACTAAGAGTTGGCATATTCAAAGAAGACTTCTCAGAGATCAACATTCAATCTGTGTGTGTGGTGTGTTTTTGTTTGGGGAATCAGAACAGAGAGCAGTGGTGGTGATGCTGTGTGTGAGTTTGGTGCACGTGTGTGTATGTGTGTATGTGTATGCTATAAGGAAGGGACACGGGATTGGACCTGGCAAGGTATATGACATGTTTTGAGATTCATCATCTTGTTTGTGTATAACAGAATATGTGTTCATGATGAGTAGATGTCAAGAAATTTCTCAAACTATATTCTGGAGAAAACACTAGTCCTGAGAAAGGTTGAGAAAATGACAATTTCTATGGTCAAATAACTTTAGGAAATGCTGCAAACTAAATTCCCCTTTTAAAGCTACAAAGGCAAACGTACGTATAATTTCTTGGCACACCGATACACATACTCAAGAAGAGATTTTTCCCCCTTTTTACAAATTTTGAAAGCACTGGTTTATAGTAGATACATAAAGTGCCTATTGTTCAGTCTAGAAAGAGTGAACATTAACCTACAAGTAATGGAATATGATCAAAGGCTTGAGCAGATGGGAAACATGCACCAAGTGGTACTTTAGAAAAATTAATCTAGTAAGGTTTAGAATATGGAATAAGAAGGGAACAGACTGGGACCAGGAGATAGTTCTGAATATTTGCTCTAAATCCATTCTAGTACGACTTACAAAGTGTTGGGAGTTTTGTTTGCATGCTGTTTAATTTTTTTCTTTTTAGCTGTGAACTACTTCTTTAAATAAAGTATTATTTCAAATCTCAGTAAATAAAAATAAAAGTAAAACTTATCTGGATAATGGAGGAGGCAGAGCAGGGTTCTGAATAAGAGCAAGAAAATAATTGATTTACAATATATAGGTACTAGGAGAGAATCAAGGACCGATCAGAAAACTATAACTTCACAAGGGACATAACAAATAATTTTCAAATTGCAAAATGCTAAATGGTCCATAAACTAAAGAGAACTGGAGTAATCTAAAAGTTGCTAAAACAGGATCTCATGGAGCTAAAAATAAATCTAGGTCTCAAGCTAACCAAAGGCAACATGGCACCTGACTTTATGGGTATCGGCCTCACTTTTAAATTTACTGAAAAAATAGAGGGGAAGCGAGATGAGTAGCCAGGACTTGAAAACTATATTCTTTGACCCAGCACCGTGGAAACTGACTAAGCTTGCCTGGTGGCAGCCCTCCAAGCCAGTGACCGAGAGTCTCTATCAATGCCCTCCTCAACAGTCTTCAACATTTCTCTCCCATCCAACACAATGGTACTGAACCACTTATTATATTTTGAGTCATATTACTCTCTCTAAGAAGAAATCCTTGTCCTTCAGGGATTAAAATTAACCAAGAGCCACTTTAGGTTTGATTTAGTTCTTTTTTGTTTTTTTTTATGATTCTTTTTTGTTTTTTTAATTGCAGTAACATTGGTTTGGAACACTGTATAAATTTCAGGCATACATCATTATACTTCTATTTCTGCATTGATTACATCATGTTCACCACCCAGATACTAATTACAGTCCGTCACCACACACATGTGCCTAATCATCCCTTTCGCCCCCCTCTCTCCCCTCCTCCCCTTTGGTTTAGTTCTTACTATCCTCTCCTGAGCCTCTAATTTTAGTGTCCCTCCTCATCTTCCTTTACTGTTCTATTTTCTTTTCCTGCCACTTCCCTCCCTTAGTGTATCACGTTAAATTCAACTTCTGAAATTCTTTGCACATTACCATAAGATTCTCAGAGACAAAACAAACAGACGTCAACGATATGACAAAGTAATAAACATGGGAAATGACGTACTGTTTTAAGCAGTTGGGTTTTTGTTTTTTTGTTTGTTTTTTGTGAAGGAATATCAAGATTGTCATGAGAGAACATTCTCAAAATGAGAATCATTTCTGCAATGGAGTCTGATTTGACTCGAGACAAAGTAAAATGAAGATCCGGCCTCTTGATCAGGTAAAACTTAGTACATAATGCTTCCTTTAAGCAAATATTTTAGATTTCTAACTGGGCATCTACGAGGGAGAAAGAGGGGCCATGAGGGGAATAATGGTGCAGATGGTCCAGTTTAGCTCTTTCCAGCCCAGTGTCCACTGTGTTTCCACAAAGACAAGCTATAATGGATTCCAGAGAGGAAAAAAAAAATGCCTTAAATTTTTAAATAGTGTGACTAAATCCTTCCCCATTTAATTTAAATCAGGCCTACATTTTCCATTTTATTCTCACCAAAACTTTCAAAAGAAATATCAGATCGAGAAGAAATGTCTTCTACCTCTGACAGCAATTTAGATGTCCCTTCCCTATAGTAATGAACTTAAACTATTTCTTTACATTTGTACATATTTCTTCTGTTAAGAGTCTCCATGTGAGAAGTTTGAGCTCAGAAAGGTCATAATCTATTTTGCTGATCAGAATACCCTAAAATGATAAGTAAACTCCACTTTCCCTTAATATTGTAAAACAGATTTATTAACGGCCTAAGAAACAAGTGTAGGGAAATGTCATTGTAGGTGGAAAAATATTTAGAGAGCTGGTGAAAACAAGTGATTATAAAAACATTTTGCTTCCATCTGTAAGTGAAGCAGTTGCTACTTAAAACAATCCATCAATACCAGAAAAAATATTTGCAGTTTATTAAAATTATCTGTTTTTATTAACAGTCACTTCTTTGGATTTTTTAAAATTTAAATATACAAATATATGCATGCATGTGTATTTTAATTTTTTTATTGTTTTGTAATTCACAACAAAATAATGATAATGTTAAACCTTACATGCATTATGATTCATCTAAGAGAAAAATCTGACTTTATTAAAGAAAATATTATTAGAGGTCAAATTCTGCCAAAGCAAAAATTTTTGGTTAACAAAAGACATTAAGGTACAGTGCATCTAATCATTACACCTGGTATCCAATACAACAAAATTCAAGAACGAAAAAGAACATCCAAATAGCCTTTTGAGATTCCTTAACGAGATTTGACTTGCATTTTGAGTCTCTTTAAATCACAGCAAACTATATCCACCAGAGAACCTCTTATTTTTCCCATTAACCTCGCCTTTAACTACAAAATAAAGAAATACAAACATTATCAAAAGCTAGATCACTTACCATAAATGCCTGTTGAGATGCAGGGAAATGCCTGTGAATAAACCACAAAAATAACAATAAATTTTAAAGAAACAATTCTGCTCGACTCCAACATCATCTATTTCAACACCTATTTTGCTTGATAATGAGATGCCCTCTATTCAAATGCTCTGAAACCCCACTCAGTTGGAGTAGGAGACATTGTGGAAACGGGCATAGTTGATTAACTGAAAACTTTTCCTCACCAGCCATCATACCAGCTTGCAAGTGCCAACTGTTAAATTTTCAAGATTCCTGTGAACTGATTGTTAAACATAGTTATTATTAAGAAATTAAATCACATAAACCAGCAAGGAAACAAGTTATATTTAAACAAATACTCAGAAATCATCTCATCATTTCCTAATTATTTTGCCACATTTTACTATTACCTCTGTTCTTGAGATTACTTATGCCTATAATATGTGTATGGTGGAAATACTGTATAATGGTGTGCTGAGCATCTCGTCCCAGCTCCATGTCAAGTGACATCATGTTGGTGGCTTAAAATCTAAAACTATCAATCAACATTCATGTTGGACTGTACTTGTGGGTTAATTGAAACCAGTGGTTGGCTATGGATACAAAATTTTGATAAAGTTAACAGAAGTCCTCTGTAAGAATCAATTGCCTGTATAGAATTTAAAATAAAGGGTATTGTATACTTTACTCTTACATTTCAATTGTGTGCTACACATTCTTTTTATTAGTAAAATTTAAAAATAAACTTATATACATACATACTTTTTTTAGGGTCAGTTTTTAAACCTTTACTGGCACACCACTACTTATACTATATGCTATGGACTGAATGTTTTTGTCCTCCTAAATTTATATGTTGAAACCCTAATGTGATGATATTTGGAAGCAGGGACTTCGGGGGTTAATTAGGCCATGAGGGTGGAGCCCCTATGATGGGATTAGTGTTCTTATAAGAAGAGGAAGAATGCTAGCACTCTCTGCTCTCTGCCACATGAGGGTACAGTGAGACGACAGCCATGTGCAAACCAGGAAGTGGGCCCTCACCAAACATCAGATTTGTTGGCACCTTAATCTTGGACTTCTCAGACTCCAGAATTGTGAGAAATAAATGTCTGTTGTTTAAGCCACCCAGTCTATGGCAATTTGTTACAGCAGCCCAAACTGACCAAGACAGCATATTTTATTTAGCAGTGTTTAAAGAATTTGACTGAAAGAGTGAGTGAACAAATGTAAATATATAGTTAGCTGTAAATTAGGCTTTCTAACAGTAGAAAGTGGTCTGAGCACGGCAATGTCCTCTGCCAATGCACCTTTGTGTAAATTTAATCAAGTTGTTTTCATCTTTCAGGTCTTTGTATTTTTCAATTGAAAATGAAGATGAAAATACCCACCATATAGAAATGTGCTGTGGGAATTAATGACAGAATTTTTTAAAAGGTGACTGATACTGTGCTGAAGAATCTAAAAACTGCAGCTGCTGTTGACTATAATATATATATATAATATAATAATATAATATAATATATAATATAATAACTAACGTTATTATTGAGCTCAACAGTAATGAAAAGTCTAAGTCTTTTTTTCTTTGTGTCTTTGGGCTAAACATGTACTACATTTCATTTTCCTTAACATCTCTATAGACTGTATGTTTAGCCCTTTTACATGGATGTTCTATTTAAAAAGTCACAATTTATGTGATTTTGTTTTAGAGAAAGTAATAATTTACTCTGTTGAGTTCACCTATACATCTGTAAAAGGATGGATTTTGTTTCTGTTCTGTTACTAGTAAATGCTACTGTTTCTAACAAGAAAATAGGACATTTTCTGTAATAGCGTAAGAGCTATTTTTTAAATGAATTCATGAGTTAATTCTTTGATTCCTTGGGTTCTTGAGGTGCCAATAAGATCTGAAGAATGTTCTTGAAGGACTCAATCCATCCAACGGCACAGAACCCTGAAGAGATAGTATGAAGCAAACTTTCCTGAAAATGTTGTAGGCTCTTTCTAGGCATTCACCAAGACTATCACCAGGTCTTACTCTGCGCAAAAAACAGCTGCAGGTTTACTGTAAGCAATTTGTTACTAACAGTAAGGGCTCAGAGTGCAGGAATGGCCTATTAAAAATACAAATTAGAGAGGATTCAGAGTCATCCCAATAATTTGTGCCCTGCTCACTCATGTTCCACTGTGTCTTTTAAATGAAGTAGAAAGAGGAGAGTTCACAGCACGTGCCCTAGGAATTCCGTGGGAGCGAACTGAACACGTAAACATCATCCATCTTGTGTTCGCAGTAGAGAAAGAGAAAGGTTTGAGACCTGCTGCATTGAGCCATCAAGCGAAAGCTAGAAGATACCACAGTGTTTTCCACAAGTAAGTCCACTTTAAATCCCACCTGACGTCCTTCCAGTTCATGATGTTGAGCAGTTCACTTAGCTGCTTTGAGCATCAGTTTCCTCATTAGTAAATGGAAACTATGAGACTCACCTCAAGGGGTTTATGGGAGGATTAGGAGGAATAAGGAACACAGAGCATTGTGTCTGACAAGTAGTAATATCTCATTTGATGCTGTTTCCTGTGGTGGACACTGTGATGCCCACCAGGCTGTGCTTCAAGGGGAAACTTGTTGCCCTAGAGCAGGGCTTCCCAACCTTGGCACTACTGATATTTTGGACCAGATAATTCTTTGTTGTTGGAGGCTGTCTTGTGCATTGTGAGATGTTAAGCAGCATCCTCGGACTCTATCCACTTGATGCCAGTAGCATGCCCCCAATCATGACAATCAAAAATATTTCCAGACATTGTCAAATGTCCCTTACAGGGCAAAATCACCCCTGGCTGAGGACCACCACCCTAGAAGCCAGGGCCTAGACCCCAGCAGTGCTGTCAGCAGACAGACTTCAGCTATCAAGCTTTTCAGGGATTGCCTCAGATGCAAAGAGCCACCTCACTCAGGGTCATGCCCCTTCCCAAGACAATCTATATCCAATAACTAATCAACGCAGAATATAAAGGCCTTGGTTCATCTTGACTGAATTCAGTGCAACACTGAAGGGCACTACCACCTCCAGAGCTCCCCATGAGGTCAGTGGGGCCATTACTGGGCCTGCATAGCAGCTCATCTTTCCCTCTGCCCACTCCTGCTTCCTTCCTCTCTCTTCTCCAGGTGTTGATCCCAAGGACACATCTTAATAAACATTCTGCACCCTAAACTCTGTCTCAGAGTCTGCTTCCTGGGGAACTGATCTGAGTTAACTCCCTTCTGCTTCCCTCTTAGGCCTGGTTATGTGAGTTGTTCTCCCAGCAGATCTAGCAGAAAAGAGAACATACTGAACAGTTAACAGCAATTGCATTTCCCTCAGCTCCCAGTCTATCATGGAATCAATCATGCAACATAATAATTGAGTCTGAATGTACCAACTGACTTGTCTGTTTCAACAAGAACAAATAGCTTCGTCTGAAAATGACATTGTTGCCTTGAATGTGAAGGCAAATGGTCGTGTAATAGAGAATGACTTTGGAAATATTATTGCATTAATTCAAACAAAAAGGTGATGAAAAAGCAGAGGTAGAAATACAATATCTTGGAAAAAATTCATTTTATGTGAAACAACTGTGCATATAACTCATCCAAATTAAATTTTCTCCATTAATCACTTTTTATTACTTAAGAGAGAGAAAGAGAAAAAAAAAGAGACAGATTGAGAAAGAAAGAGTGATCAAGTGAGCTCAACTAAAGGATTTACAGCACATAGTCTGTGTTCTTTGCCATAATATACTTCTGATGGGGCCACCAGAAGTGAGTAGCGTGGGATTTCTTTATTTCAAAGTTGTATTTAATATAACCACCTCCCACAAAAATCGTCTTCTGTGGAAGAATGATAGATTGTACCAAAACCCAGGCCAATTAGCCTGGTTTGTTTTAATTTAAGTGCACATAACTCAGTCACCTGTAGAACTTGGGGAATGACATCATCAGCCCAATTTGTCTGGCTCCAGATTCTCCTTTTAGCAAGCCCCAGGAGCAAGAAGTCTCCATGCTAATCAGGTCCAACCAGTGAGCCATCAGAAACTTGCTTGATGGCATTTGACTTTTAGCCAGTTTTTTCTTCCAAATCAGCATGTGCTTGTTCTCTTGGGGGAAAAAATAATCGTTTGACTTGGAGAGCGAGAGAGGATTTTCCTTTCGTGACATTACAGATTGGGCTACCACCTGGAATATACTTCCTTAGCCCAATATGTTGGTTTCAAGGCCATTTTTAAAAACACTGAACTCCTTCAGGCTGTAGACTATGCTTCCCATCCTCTTGAATCTCTGTCTCTACTTCTCCCATTTCCATCTCAGTAATTTGAGGGCAAGGAAGGAAATACCCCTCAACTTTCTTTGTCTTGACCCTAACAGTGCCTCAAAACCAAGGCAATAAGCCCTAAGCCAAATCATAACCATCACTTGCTTTTCCGTGACCCTTGATTCTCAGTTCAGGCATTCCTGCAAAGTGGAAATTTCTTCCACTCCCCCTTATCCATGGTCATTACCATCCACCCATTGCTTATGCAGCAGTTGTGTGATCTGAGTAGGACTGCCTCCACCCTCAGCTCCACAGGAAGGTGATGATTTACCTAAGTAAGCAGCACACATCCGCCTTAGCCACAAGAGTAGAGAGATGGAGAATTCTGACATCATTGAGCTGCTGGTGTAAATTACCTGTAAAGTGCTCCCAACCTCTAGGATCTGTCAATTGCTGAGCCAACACTTTCCTTATTGTTTAGTCAGTTTTAGTTAGATTTTCCATTATTTGCAAACAAAAGCATGCTACCTGATATACCTTCCATTTAAGTGTTTTTAATTATATATCACATTTCACTGACTTGAGAAAGCTGTCGATTGTAAACAACACCATTATTTTGTTGTACTTTGTGTACCACTAAGAAAGAGGAAGTTCTGTAAGTTAAAATATAACACATGTTTTATTATCATTTAGGATTTTTATTGCACACATTGAAATTGCTATTTTGGATTTATTTAGATAATTTCTTAAGTCACTTCTTGCTCTAGAGCATCGATAAAATAAGAGATAAAATGACAACCAAGCATGCACATGTACAGGCAGTGAAACCTCATCGTGAATATGCTGGACTGTAAAGCATCCCAGGCTATAAGAGGTATCCTATTCTCAAAGAAGTTAGAATATGAGAAAATGTGCATCAATGAAATTTAGGGTACCACTCTTTGTCTTTAGATGTTTGGTTATCAGCGTAGTGAGTTGAGCCATAGTCTCCTTATTCAGAATGCAGCATACTTGAGTATTTCTCAAACTGTGATATGCCTAACTCTGGGAGTGTGCAAGATATTTTAAGGCAGCAAACAGATGGGCATTGCCCATTTCAATGTAATATCTACATATTATTTTGATATACTCCATTATTTTTCCCCAGTCTTCATCCTTCCTTCTATCTACACCCTTGGCTATGTGATTTTGCAGCTCTTCCAATATGGGAGGATGTATTTTCCTTGTTCCGTTGATGATGGATTGAGCATATCACTTGGTTTCGCCAATAGGATAACAGTAGACATGACATTTAGGCTTGAACTTTTGCACTCCTGCCTTTGAGGAAAACCTGAGAAGAACATGCCCCATGTAGCTGCTGGTCCAGAAAGGCTAAGAGACGATTGGAGCAGATCAACTGAACCCAGCCTAGATCAGCTGTGCCCCAACCAACCCACAAGCATGTGAGCAAGGAAGACATGCTTATTACTGTATGTCACTAAATTTTGGAGTTGTTTGTTATACAGCATTATTGTGACAATAGCAATAATATAAACATGCTAAAACTATAAGTTATTATATTGTAGTATAACAAGAAATACTGGTTTTCCACTTAGGGTGACAATATAAAGTTTCCTTTGAAAATAAAAGTAATTACAGGGTCAATTAAAATATTAGGTAATTATCATATTAGACGGTGAAATGTGAATGCTTAAAGTGAGGGAAATACTGATGCCATAAATAGAGACTTGAATTGGAAGGCAAGAGACCGGGGTTACTTACTAGCTATAAATCTGAG